TCTTGTCCACTTTGTCGCTTTCCCGAGCTTTTAAGACCTTTTGTGATTTGGCCTTTCGTGATTCGGCCTTTTGTGTTTTCGGCCTTTTGTGTTTTCGGCCTTTCGTAGTACTCCCCAATTATGTAGAGCGTGACATAATATTTACACCTTTCCTATGGGTTATGACTGTCAAGTCAACTCAAGGCAAAGAAAGCGAAATTTTGGGATTTTTTTTTCTCGGAAAGGAAACAACATATTTCAAATCGGGTTCCACTTTTTTTTAACTCTTTATTTGTTCCAAATTCAAAATAAATTAGGTACATTTAATTTTGACCTAGGTGCTCCAGTTTTTTTTTTTTTTTTTTTTTGGTTTTGTTTTTTCCGTCGAAATGCTTGTTTCATAGGCGAACAAAAATTTGTGGCAACCCTGAGGCAAATCAGGGAGGTCCGAAGTGAAAATATAATACAATATAGGCTCAAGAATGCTACCCTGAGGAACTCCAGATCTAGCAGGTAGTTGATCAGATTTGGAATTTTGATAATTTACCGGACGAGTTATGTCAGTTAAATAATTTTGAACTAATTTCATAATATAGAGTGGAAAATTAAACTTTTTCAATTCAGCAATCAAACCTTCATGCCAAACACTGTCGAATGCTTTTTCTTTGTTTAGAAGAGCAACTCCAGTTGAACAGCCTTCAGATTTGTTTGGACGTATTAAATTGGTAACTCTTAAGCGTTTATGCAAAAATTGAGTTCGTATTGATGTGAAGCATCATTCTATTCTAAAGTATCTTTTAAAAAAGTTTACTTATTGAAGAAAGCAAACTTGTTGTACGGTTGCTAGAAGCTTCAGCTGGATTTTATCCGGCTTCAAAATTGGAACAAATTTTGCATTTTTTTTATTTATCAGGAAAGTATGCCAAATGGAAACATCTGTTAAATAATTTTACCAAGAAAGACAAGGTACTCTCTGGGAGTTTTTTTGATGAGGATATAGAAAATTCTATCGTCACCTGCTCCTATTGAGCATCAGGTTGCTCGGGATTATCTGAATATTTTCTCTGGGGAAAATATTTTTGATGATTCCTGGGCGACTGATTTGGACGAAGTAAGATCTATAACTAAAAAGTTTCATAATATGAAAGCAGCATAGGTAGCTCCATTTACTCACTGAATATTGTTAGCAGCGAGGGGAGCAGGTATAGATGAAGAAGCAGGGGTGATATTTGTACCTACAGGAATTTGTTTTTCGCTACCGCCGTGACAAAACGTCAGCATTACCGAACTTAGCAGTAGGCACATATTCGATAGTAAAATCGTATAATAAAAAAATTAGCACACAACGTTGTAAATGATTAGCGAAGTATACGGGAATTCCCTTGCTTGAGCCAAAAATCCGTACCAATGACGCATGGTCTGTCTGAAGACGGAATCTGCGCCCGAAGATCATCTTATGAAATTTCGTCACAGCTAATACTACAATCCCAATACAATCCCTCACGGTCCGGTTGACTGTACCGCTGTTCAGCCTTCGTGAATGCGCGGGCGGTGTGCTGTACTACCTTGATCGAGCCATCTGGGTACCTATGACTGATGGTAGCGCCAACACCGACCGAGTACTGATGAGGCTGTAACGCGCCATTTAACCCCGTTGAATAGTCACTACATATCCGAATCGACCCGCTTGACTTGCGGACCACCACGATTGGAGCGGCCCCCTCCGCGAAGTCTACTGGCGTGATGATCTGTTCCTGCTCCAGTTGGTCTAGTTCTAGTTCTAGATCCACAGCCCGCTGCATCGCGTAAGCGACCGGAGATTTGCCTGACTTCAGCTCCAACTTGATCTTCATCTTCGTACAGATGCCCAACTTGTCGGAGAAAACCGCTGGAAGGAGTGCCTTGAGTGTCTCCACATAGGATAAAGAGAAAGAGAAAGAGAAAGATTAGTAATTTCCATTCAATTCCACTACCTTATTTGCTTATCCTTGACAGATACGCGTATTTCGTCTACAATGTGCAGACTTCTGAGACTGAGTCGAGTATTAGTACAAGACACTGAAGAAGTCTGCACATTGTAGACGAAATATGCGTATCTGTCAAGGATAGGCAAGTAAGGTAGTCTTTATACAGGTATTCCACTAAGACGCCCACGTTCATCAGGATTCACATAGGATGTTTTACTCCCGACCTGGCAACAAATCGCATTGAAGGGTACCGACCACAGTCCAAACACTTCCATCATATCGGACTCGACGAGTTGAAGTTGCTCTCGAGAAACTCGCACTGTACACTCTGATTTCCTACCGTTGATCATCATCTCGCAAGAAAATTCGCCTTCGATGTTCAAAATCTTTCCATCAGCTGTCTTTGCAACGATCGATGGTGCACTCAACGAAGGGCTTCCGATTTTACGCCAAATTCCCATTGAAACGATGGTGATGTCAGACCCTGTGTCTAGTTTCAGGTGAACCGACGAACCGGTACATACTTCCTGCACTTCGTTGCACTACAGGCGTTCACCGTCATCACCTTCGCAGCGGCGTTTCCTTTCTGTCGATCGGACCTCCTTTCCCAGCACTGTGGCAGTATCCCTCCTTATGTCTGACCGTACCACAATCTTAAATGAACAATCCCTGGCATTTTCAAAACACGCACTCCATTTGCCTGGAAAACAACTCTTCCAAACCTCACTGTGAATTGCTATCACCTCTCCATATATGGTATAATGAAGCATATGGTCGATGATAGCCACATTTTCCATGTCATCTGGGAGAGCATGCAAACGTACGTCGCCAGCGCTGCTTTCGACATAAATTGGAATCGAGATCTTTTTTCCCTCATACTCCATGAAATGCTTCAGCTGAAGCGATTCTTCTTGCTACTTCGTTGCTTTGCATACCCAGGTATACAACGTTTTTCACATTGTGTGGCTGGATACATTTCACCTGTGACATATAAAGTTGCAGTTCATTTTCTAGAAATCGTTTGATTTCCAAAATACACGGCCGTTTAGGTAGAATGGATGTATCCAAAACGACACAGTTTTCTCGCAAAGCCATGGCTATGGGCAACAAAACTCACACACGTCACACAAAAGAAATCCGAGAATGGTATTATACGTCTGATCGGTTAAGGAGATGGATAGCAACTGATTTCTATGTTTCAGGAGCATTTAAATAATTCAAGAACTGTGAATTTACATTCTACATATAGAAAATTCTTTCAGGCCACACAATTTTCTCAATTTGTTTGTCTTAGAGATCTTGAATTTTTAAGTCCCAGTAATAAAAAAATGATCCAAATCTCAAACGTATCCCTGAAACTCTAATTTTTCACGAATGGTATTTTAAGTCCTAGACGCAGTCAAATTTAGTTTTATGTCCGTGAACTGTCCATCTGGGAAAATTTTTCACATTCCATAATAATGAGATTTTTTTCTTATCGTACGTTCACACTACAGAGTTATAACATGTTATAGCGCTATCTTGATGGTGGATTCTGTGTTGTAATTATTTGTCAACCGTTATAACATGTTATAACTGCCAGTGCTGATAAAAATCCTTTCTTCTACACTCAATTTAGCTGAATATGAAGAAAACCTTAACAGATAGACCAACTACCTGCATGAATTTGAATTTTGATATAAACAAATTCCGTTGATCTAGGCAACCTCTGAGTATCAAAAATAACATTTGTTTTTCTTCATTCGTGGCTGGATTCTCATTATAGCCTCTGTTGTTGTAGATATTGATATTAGTCTTCATCTAGGTCGAGATGATATTGAGGATCAAATGCAAAATGATTATTTTCATTTTAAACAAATATAGCGCTGAAGAACGTGGTTTTTAGACATAAGTCGACGGCAAATTATTGCCTCAAGCTGAACTGATGATAATATCGATGATTAAGGCAGTGTGGTCGACAATATTCAAAATAATCATTTTGCCCAAAATTTCGTTGATTATTTTGCTTTTGAGGATCACTTCTGATTTTGACAATTTTGGGTTTGATAATCGAGCACTGGTGAATATCAACAAACGCGTATTCGTTGATGTATAATAAACTCATTTGTTCATTTCGCTCGTTTCGTAACTACGAAGATGTTCAAAACAAACGCAATTCATCGACACTGGGTTGAAGCGCTACTCCTTGCGTGTGATGGTAAATGATAAAAACAGACACTGATAACTGCTTAGTCTGGACAGCGTTTTAGACTGCGATCTAGAAAAGTTGTATAGCTCCCAGAGTTATGATTTTTTTTCTATGTTACATGAGGTGTTACAGAAGATTCTATTCTTAGGAGCAGAGGTGGCAACAGTACATTTTTTTGCAAAACCATCGTCCAGAGCAAACCAAAACAGCCAGCACATGGGCGATCGTGTATTTCTACATTACAAGAAATTATCAAACTCCCTTATTTACGCATAATTTTAACATCTATGCTTCCGAATGGTTAGTATTCATTCTTATCTTCCATGCAATAAACATCAAATAAATGCTATAATTAGGCAGAAATCGGCAAAATTCTACATGACATAAATTTATGTCGCTGCATGGTCTTGTCTGCTTCATTATGCAAAAATGTTCTGTCCCCTGCAGAAAATAGTTTAGAAATGTTTTGAATGTTTTGAGCCAAATGAACTGTCAAAATCGGAGCCAATCGAACATTCCAATTAGATTTTTTTCAGACGATTTCTTATTCTTACTAGAATAAATTTGAGAGTATGTATTGCAATCGAACAGAAATTCAATCACCTTTATGTTTTGTGTGCTTCTCAAATTCAACTAGTTTTTGGAACAAAAAACAATATTCTAACTCCAGGATTGTTTTAACTTGGTTTTGTTTGTTCGATTCTATTCTAAATCGTACTGGAAGAGGGGGTTACTTGAGATTAATGTAATTTGATTTATTTTACGCACGAAATAGTAAAATTTGATTTAAGAAATAATTTCAGTTGATTTGAAAATCCGAAGTTTTCCTGCATTAAATCTATTTAATTTTAATACACTTCTTTCAGGAGACACTAGTTGAAGGCCTACAGAAGTCATCAAGGCGCACCATCTATCGCGAGTCAAATTATTTCAAGGATGATTCCGTAGACGTATAGTATTGAAATGTACGGAAACCGTACCCGTCATCAGCAAACAATACATGGAGACGTAGCCGTACCTACAACGTCCTGTTTATGTATTACGATCACTATTATACTTAGCAATAGGTATTTTAAACGTCTTACCAAGGTTATTCTAGTTTTATACTCTACATACTAAGGAACGAAATAAGCGCAAATTAATGTGTTACTGTTTTTTTTTTTATTTAATACGATAGACTGCTGCCAAGCAAATTTTGCTGTATGGTATTTTATACTGTTGTAGGACTATCAATTCAAGTGAACCACAAGTCTGAAATTAATAGTTTTAGTGTATGTCTTCTGATGCAACTCTATAAACAACATTCTGAGTATTACTAGTATGTTACGTTTTCTGTTTCCTAAATTTATATCAATTACAGAATATAAGGCGCCAAATTTCACATTTTATATGTAATCGAGTATTATATTCCAAGGCCATTTGCATCTATTCAAGTCCTTTTAAACGTCATGTCTGTTCATTTCCCATTGTAAACTATTCCTTATGTTATTTTCGTTTTTGCGATTTAGCTCCATTAACAGGCGCTAGTCATAGACAGATCGACATCGTTTTAATTTATACAAACGTACTCTCGATGATTAAACGTAGAACATGTTCGATGTTAAAAGTGCTAAACCATCGCAAAAACGAAAAAAAAAGTTTGATTAATGCTCTTAAATTGGACCTCATTCCACTGCCGGTCGATTACTCTGCATCAATATTGTGAAATCTATAACAATGTTTTTATGTGATACCGTGACTTGCTCTATTACCGTAGGATTAAGAACGCAAAAAATCAATTTGCAGTGATTTATGATTCTTTTAGTGTCCTGTGATTGTGTACTGTGTACATTTTGCCATAAACAGTTGGTTTGCAATACCGTAACCCCTACTCTAATTTCGTGCATCACCTAGTAGTGCTAATACTGTGGGTTTGACAATAAACTTGAATATTTTGGGAAGTATTTTTTTCTAAATAATTATCGCAAACGTTAACATATCGAGTCAAATTTGACAACTGGTTACACACACGTGCAAAACAGAATATTGATAGAATAAAAACTACGGAATTAGGGCACCGCCGTACTTTTTAGTTTGTAATACCGTGGTTTGATTGCAGCAAAATGACATATGTTTTACATTCTAAATCAACTGAACAAGGCTCTGGACAGCGTTAGAAACAGAGGTTCTATACATGATACACCCCTTTTGTTTAATATAGGGATGATTCTAAGTGTCACTCTTCAAGTGCGCGGTATTAGGCACAAGGACATGTGTAAATAACTTGTATAACTTTTTAGGTTGTTAAAAAATTGTAAATCAAATTTTTATAGTAAAATATATACAGTACACAATTATATGACGCTTAAAGAAACAGAGATGTGCACTGCACTACTTTAACAATTTCATTTTTTGCTAATTGATTTAAACTTGAAGCGTTATTAAGCCCACGGTAAAACATAACCCCACAACCTAAAAAATAATAAAAATTGTAATGGTTGAACATATCATTGTACCAAAAACCGCGCACTTGAAGTGTAACATTTGAATCATCACTATACTAAACAGACGGGGTGCATCATGAATATAACCTTCGTTTCTAACGTTGCATAGAGCCTTGTTCAATTGATCCAGAGTGTAAAGCATTCGGTTTTTTTAAGTCATCCTGCTGCTAAAACTCAACCACGGAAGGCGTTGCCCTAAATCCGTGGTTTTCTATTTAATCTGTTTTTGTGTATAAACAGTTGTCAAATTTGTTATGCCTTAGTATAGATGACGCGATATGCTAACGTTTACAGTAATTATCTAGAAACAAAAAAAAAACAGTATAATCGTAAAGTATTCAATATTGTCAAGCCCACGCCATTAAGTGCTGCGTGGAATTAGAGCAGGTCACGGTACACTTTTTTTTTAAATATGTGCTTTTCTGCTATATAGTATAATTGCAATTTATACCAGTAGTATAATAATTTGCTTTAGCGGTGGATGGCGACCTTACGGTATATGAAATAAAGGCACTACAAGATAATTTACTTTATTGATACAAAAACATGACCGACAGTGGCTTTCGTGCCTGTTTTCGCTATAGAGCATACTACGAACCGGTTCCTTGGTTTTTTAAAGAGGTGCCAAATTCAATATCTTAATATCGATGGCAAATCCCTAACCCAATTTTACATGTATGCAAAATAGAAACCATATATTTTGAGATTTGGACACAAGAAATAGAGTTGGTATAAAGGTAAAATCGGGATTAGGAGATATCCAATATGCATGTACCCACTACAATAGATTCCCATCACTTTTGCAGACACAATTTTTAGCCATAGCCTGATTTCATAAAAAGGTACTATAAAACTATAATTCTAAATGACATTAGATTGTTTTAACAACAGTGGAAAAAATAAGCAACAATTTTATTCCGTTTTATATACGATGGAAATAACATTAGAATTTACTATCGTGAATCAATATACTAGTAGCAGTAGGTTCGGAGAATAACGAAAGAGTGAATCGACATAAACAATGGCACAGCAAGTTAGATAAAAAAGAAGCAGATGTAAACGGATTTTATATGGATTTTTTGTCAAGCTCTCAAAACTTTGCCTCCTATGTTATGGTGCTATATTAAAAAGTACGGAAAAATTACTTTACGTTACATTCCAGGCGTCATTTTCATGTCATTATTTAGCCATTCTTATGGTTCAAGTATTTTTGCGGAACTCACAAGAAAATATCAATTCTTGGGGTTATTCTGGGTGAGGTACGTCACTTAAGTGACCATTAGAATAACGTTGGTCACTTCATGTCACTCAGTACGCAAAATAACTTCCATTGCCAATGAAATAAAACTGTATATGAAAGCAATTGTCATATTTTTCTTTAATATCATCACTTCCAGACAGTATTTCGATCTTAGCAGTTGTCGAGACCGACAGTAGATTGGACCTGTTGCCCGCATAAATGCGAATCATAATTTGACTTTACGAAAAATGGTTAAAAATTGTTCATGAACTTCCCAACAAACAATTTTAGCTGCAGCTTAGCTTATACAAGCAAAAATTAGCTGCATAAGGCAAGTTTTGGCTGCATAAGCTAATCTGCAGCTAAAATTGTTTGTTGGGTTTACATAAACGTTTTAATATTAAAGTTTTAACCTTATGTATTATGGTTTTTTGATAGTGGACCTTACAAATAATGGGTTTTTAAGAACCATTACCATTCAAAATATTTTCGGAAAGATAACTATATTAGAACCTATTTACTTATGATTTGAGAACTTTAATGGTAATTGTTATGGTATTCAGTAAGGTCAATATGTGGTTTTGTAACATCGATCAACTTTATGTGGAATGTATCGCGAATTGATGGCCTTTAAATTAATGAGTACCAATTGGCGATACATTCCACTCAAAGTTGACCGATAATATTGCATATTTTGCCCCCAATCAGATTCCCAGCAGAATAATTTTGTCACACCACAAAATGTTCACACCGTTTTCAGCATACATTGGTTCATTCCGATGCTACAGTTTCATGTAGCGAGGGCGCATTCTAGGGTGACGTATCGAACAATCGGTTTGTTTACCTGCTATTCCCTTTGTACTTTGATGTTGGAACATATGTTTTCAACTATCAAATATTTTCACATCAGTCTAAAAACCAAAGCAACCTGCAATAGAAAAACATACATGGACTAGAGTCGGTGTATAATGAGTCACGCCAAGAGAAAAACAGTTGAACTCGCATCACGGTTTTCGAAAGATTCCCTTTCTTTTCACTTTAGCCTAGTATACAGATCGAAGCGAAACGAAAATTGAAGCACGCGAAAAATCATGAAATTTCGCTAGCGAAAAAGGTTGTGAAAAAATGTTTGTGGAACATTTTCCAGTTTCTTTTTTTCGCAGTTTACAGTTCATGTGAAACGAAATCGGTCAGTTTACACCTCCGGTGAAGTGAAAATCTGACAGATACGCTCTTTCTCGAAACGTCAACTTTTCGCTTACCTGCTGCTCTTTTCGATGGCGCTGCATGCGCGAAAAAAAAATGAACGTAAGCGAAAAAGATACAATCCACAAAATAAGATTTCGCTGGATCGCATCTGTTTACAGTTCAAAGCGAAGCGAAATATTTGCCAATTGCGTTTTTCACGCAGGTGAAAAATTTAGTATTTTGTATGAATTTTTCGCTTCGCTTCGATCTCTATACAGGCCTTTTGCAACAGAGGACTTCTACATCAACTTCAAATGACTTCCAGCGAGAAAAAAATATAGCGGCTTTAGTAAATCATTATATCAGTGATTTAGTCAAATTATCTTAACCAAAAATAGTAGAAATTCTCATAAGTGATCATTACCAAACGTATCCCATGACAATTTATTGCTCACTGCGTGTTTATGATCATTTCTTCGATTATATATTATATTTTATTGCAATACCTTTCGTGGATCTTTCATAGCATCGTAATGTTTGTGTACTTTGCGCGATAGGTAGCCGGTAGTAACTCATGAACCGGGGACCAACGGCTTTACTTTCCTTCCGAAGGAAGGCGTGATCAGAGATGTTATGCCTCAGAACATCCCGGTGGCGCCGACTGGGATTGAACCAAGGCCTGCTGGGGTGAGAGGTAATCACGCTTATCACTACACCACTGGCAGCGCTTGGAAATTAAATTAAATTGTTTTCTGCAAAAATCTATTGGTGAGGGTATTTAATATAAACCAGCATATAGTATTTTTGCCAATGGATTTTGTTTCAGTGAACCAATTGAGCTGTCAAATAGCGGAACCAATCAGGCAAATGACGACCAACAACAGAAAAGAGCACATCAGCTATTGCGAACAAAACTTCGGAAATAGTTTTCTCGTTAATCAAGGCTCGCCTACGCAAACTAACATCATCTTTGGGTTGGGGAAAGTTTCTTCTATCCGATGATGCTGGAAAATTGCGTACGATTGGCGAGTAAATAATAATCAATGTTTTGTTTATAAAAGTTGATTGTACCTTTTCATTTGTTGGTCTACAATATATTGAAATGGTTCCGCTTCCAACACGGTTAGAAAAAAGTACCCAAAATTAAGTTCTTTTCACTCATTTCGGCACTATAGTGCAGGAACCCAAAAGTAGGTAAAGCGGGTCAAAGTAATTTTCATTTACTTATGTGCAGTTCGTATGGAATTTTCCACTGGCTTTTTTACCAAAAGTAAGTTAGTTGTACCCAACAGTAGGTATATATGATTATACTCAACGTTGGGTTCCCACACTTTACTACCCCTGTTGGGTGGTTTTGCTCGTCCGTTTTTGACAACATTAGTAGGAGAAAAGTAGAGTCGGTGTATAATGAGTCACGCCAAGAGAAAAACAGTTGAACTCGCATCACGGTTTTCGAAAGATTCCCATTCTTTTCACT